AAGAATACAGTATATAATACATATACAAAATATGTGTTAATTGACTGTTTATGTTATCAGTAAGGCTTCTGGTCAATGGTAGATTATTAGCAGTTAAGTTTTGGGGGAGTTAAAAGTTATATGTGCATTTTCAACTGCATGGGGGATTGGTTCTCCTAATCCCCACATTGTTCAAAGGTCCACTGTATATAAATATTGGTGACATGTAAGCCCCATCAGATATGTTACCTTTCTAACTTTATTAGTATATGAAATTATAATAACTTGTAATGTATTTAATGTACAGTCATTCCTAGGTATCCATAGGGGATTGATTCTAGTATCCCCCACCCCACCTGTGGATATCAAAATTTGAGGATGCTCAAGTCCCTTATATAAAACGGCATAGTATTTGCAAATAACCTGAGTGCAACCTCCCGTATACTTTAAATCATCTCTAGGTTACTTCTAATACCTAATATAATGTAAGTGCTGTGTAAATAGTTGTTATACTGTATTTTTTGTGTTATTTTTTATTGTTTTTTGTTATTTTTATTGTTTTTTTCCTGAATATTTTGGATATGCTATTCGTTGAATACATGGTTGTAGAACCTGTGGATATGAAAGGTCAACTCTATACAGTAATTTTTTGCTATTTGACCTTTTCCCTCATACAGATTTTTGTTCTTAAAATTTTCCTGAGATATGTGGAATTTTGAATTTGTAACTTACACTGTTTAATTATGGCATAATTCTTTTTTCTTTGTTATTTTTTTCAGAAGTTTGTACAAATCCCAATAATTTTTAGAAAATATTAAGGCAGTAATCATGAACACCAAAGATTTTGTAGTTCTTCCATGGGGAAAACCTGGAAATTCTGTAAAGCTAAAATATAAGTAAGTACACATATATTTATTAATATATTTCTTAAATAGAGATAGTTGTCAAAGTTTCTGTATGTTGTAATTTAAACTGTTCTTTTTACATGAGACTGTTTAGAGTTGAATTCAAATTTTGTGAATTCTTCTTTCCATTTTTTTCACAATGCTGTATTTTTATCTGTAAGAGAGTAGGTTTGAAATACTATAAATCTATAATAGTTTAAAAATGATATTTAAAAATATTTATCCCACAAGAATCAAAGTGACAAGTTATAAATAAAATTTGGGCTCATTACCTATTAGAGCACTATAACAGAAAGTTAAAAATATTTTTGTGACCCTTATAGTTTAAAAAGAATCACCCTGAAATTTAGGGAGAAACTGAAATTTAGGGAGACTATTAGAGTGAGAAACCTTTAAACAGGGAATAGAAAGCACCACATACCCTAGCCCTTCACATAGTTAAAGGACATTATGTTGAATTTATTTTTCCTAGGAGGGGTACCCTCTGTCATAGATTGACTAGGAGATGCATTCAGCCAGAGCCAAATAATTCTGGGTGTCCTGGGAATTTCATGACATTACAGGGATATGGGATGGTTCAACCCATTGTTCCCCTTTGAGATCACATAGAGTCACTGGAAATACTCAGGGCCTTCCTTTCAAATATCATTAAGAGCCATCCAGCATGGGGTGGTGATAAACTGTCAGTTTTTAATTTTAGTTTTTGAGTTCCCTGATCCAGATCAATACTCTTGTATTCCTCAGTGTCTTCAAAGCTTTTCTAATGCTCTCTTTTCTTTTGAGACACTGGCAGCAAAAGCATTGTGTAAACTGGAAAATGTTATACAAGTCTATGACATTATCATTATTAGATATATGATTTTTTTGGTGGGGAGGGGAACTATCTAATTGCTAGTACTACCAATTTTTTAATAGAAAAAGAGAAAAGGATAAGCATTATTTGATTTCAGTGATGTGTTTCAAGTCTATGTGTCTATACCTATAAACATTCATCCAACAAACATATATTAAGTGCTCATATTCTACACAATGTCCTAGGAAATGGTAGCTACAAAAGGAAGAAGTCATGGTGTTTGCACTCAGGTAGCTTGCATAGGATATGAATGAGTAAAATTACGTTGACGATACAGTATAGTATGAAGCATGGTGTGCTGTGTACACACAGGACCTTGGAGGAACATGGCCTAAACTGGTAGGGCAGGAGTGAGAAGGTATCCCAATTGTGCCTGAGAGATGCAGTTAGTTGGGTAGTTATTGGGTGGAACTTGTGCAAAGGCAGAGAGACCACATAGTTTGGGGACTTTTCAGACATCGCCAATTGGCTAAGAACAAAGTTAGAGAAAAGGGCAGAGTTTAGTTAGTAACTAACATGTAAGCCATGGTTAGGAGTTTGGAATTTATCTTAGAAATGAGGGTGAAACATGTTTCCTGGACCTGTATGTTTCCCTGACCCACCCATGATCCACAGACCCATTAAAAACTGAGAGAGGGACACCCACTCCACAGTAAGTGCTGTGGAATTCTTTTTCTCACCCTTTTCTTGTCCTAAGCTCTTTTTCATTTGACATTGTCTTAACAATTGTCTTCACATTGTTTGAAAATTTGGCATCGTCCACTCCTCTCTACCATATTTCCAGCTTGAACCCATTTCAATTTTAGTTCTGGCTTTTGGATTTGTTGCGTTGATTAGAAATTATTGTCTAATTTTCATACTGTCTTGTCTCTAATGTATTCAAATAGCGTGAAGCATAAAATTTTAAACAACATTTTTTCTATATAGGCAAAAAAATACATTTTTGCTGAAATGATCATCTTGGAAATCTTAATTAAATCTCTTAAATCATAAAATAAATAAGTAAAGCCAAAGGTCAACCTTAGCTTTCCTCAGGAGCCTTGCCTGCCTCTGGCTCTGTGTCTAACTCTGTCTCCAAAAGGAATCCTTTGTCTTCTGTGAGACCCATAGAATCCAACCATTACACTTGACCACTTGGTTAGTGGGCTAGTCCTTTTTTTCGGTCTTACCCCTTTCCTCTACCACAGTGAGACTTCAGAAACATTAAAAGTCTTGTAAGCAAGTCAGTGACACAATTACATTTGTGTTTTTGAACTCTTCCTCTGGAAGCAGCGTGCAAAGTGTTGTGGGCTGTTGAGACTTTAGGCAGGGATATCAGCTGGCGGACTGGTCCTGAATCGTGCCTCCACCCACCCCATTGTGATCTAGTTCAGAAAATGGCACCATTGTCCCCCTGGCTGCTCAAGCAGAAAACCTGGGATTATTTTAGATTCCTTCCTTGTCCCCTCCCTGGTAGTCACCTGTTTTGGTCAGTCTCCAAGTTGTTAATTGTGTTTCCTTATTTATCTCAAAAGCTCCCATTTTTCTCTCCACTGCCTCTACTCAGCCAGACCAGCATAATCTTTCTATTATTTAGATTACTGGAATAGCCTCCTAACTGGCTGTCTTGCTTCCAGCCTTGTACCTTCTAATTGATTTTCAATGATACAGCCTGGGTGATCTTTCTAAATGCAAGTCTGATCAATTCTCTTAAAACCCTTTAATGATCCTCATTGTTCATAGAATACAAATACCAATTCCTCATCATGGCTTACAAGGCTCTTCGTGATCAGACCACTGTCCACCTCAGTAGTGTTATTACTTGCCACATTTTCCATCCTGCACTTAATATCTGGTCATGGGGAGCTTCGACTTCCTTGATTCACACATTGCCCTTTCCTACCTGTATCCACACTACTTTTTTCTTAGAACACTGCTCTCATCACCTCCCTTTGACTGGCTAAGTTCTTTTGTTCTTTAGGGTCTCAGCTCAGACTTCACTTTCTCCAGGAACTGTCCCTGCAGTCCAAGGGCTGGAGTATGTGCTCTTTCTTTGTGCTCAGGTAGCCCCCTGTACTTCCCCAATGAGAGCACCGTCACACTGTATCTCAGTTATTTTCATCCTTGTCTGAATTCCTTGCCACACTGGAAGCTCCATTCTTTCTCATATCCTATCACTTATCACAGGGCTTGTTTGTAGTAGGAACTGAATTATTTCTTGTGGAGTAGATATAATGAAAATAATGCCTCTCTCTATGTCTTGGCCAGGTTCTCCGAACCCTCTGGACAGCCTTTGCCTCATATCACTTGCTATATATCTCCCTGGATTGTGTCCATTTGGGGACATATCCTTGGTCCACTTGCTCTTGGGTGACTGCTCACTACCTCTATAAATTAATTTCCTATTTTGATCTCCATTATTCTTTAGTTTGGACCCATGCCATAGCATGCATGGGTGCCCACACTACTTGATTAAGGTAAAGCACTAATGTAATAATGAAGGAAGAGATTTAAATTCATGATTGATAATAAAAGAGAATTACTTTGGGTTAGTTCTATGAAAGAGAGAGTCAGTGACTAGTGCTGATAAGAGACCAGAATTGTAAAATGAAGAAAATGGCTTGTGTCAAAAGCTTCATGAGCCTAAGATATTATTGTCAAAATCTCTTGTACAGGAATCTCCTGTATGAAAACATTATTAGGGGCTTTCTTCCTAATAGGCTCTAGACAGGTTCTGCCTTCTCCCCCTGCCCCCCATATAATAAGTACATGATATAAAGGTAGAGATTTATTTAAGGCTTCCAAGATGATTAGTTCATAAAAATGTATATTTCACCTATGTATAAAACATTATTATTTTAAATATTGTACTTCAAACTACTTGAATATGTTAGAGGCAAGACAGCATGAAAATTAGAAAATAATTTTTCTTTTGTTTTCTATTTGCTTGTCATAGATATTTGTGCATATATAAAACATGGCTCATAAATGAAGTTAAATATGATTTTAAACCTCTAGCAATGTAATAGATAAAATAAAAGTTTAAGATTTGCAGAGATACCTTACTTAAAGATAATATTAATGAAAGGCAAATGCTAACTTTATAAACCATATTTCAGAGAAGTACAAAGAAAATAGTTGAAATACATCACTTATTTATTATTAATACTTTTACTTTAACAGCAAAAGATTATATAAAATTACTTTGCCTTGGGTTTTTTTTTTCTTTATTTTTTGTTTTCTCCAAATGAACATTCTACATTTAAATCTTACGTCTTCAGAAATGCTCAAGAACTGCGAATGGAGAAAGTACGGTTAGAGTTGGAGAACCAAGAGATGGCAAAGAAGCTGGAAGAATTCCGATCAACAATGAACAAACAAAAGGAAGAAAGAGAGTGAGTAAAATAGTATATTTTATATACTATTGTCATTCCAATAAAAATGTTTAATGCATGGATAATTTCTGGCTTTCCCTGAGGAACAAGCAATATTATATTCCTTCTTTTTGTTTTTGTGCCACTTATATGGGGCATGTTGCTTTTTAAAATGATCATTACTTTTGTTTCTTCTGAACTTTATTTGTTCTTACTCTTACTTATTTCTCTTTTTACTTTATGCTTTTCAAAAATTTACGGTCTGGAATGTTTAGGACAACAATGCAAACTTTGCTCTTTGCTCTCAGAAGATTGCCATCAACAGCAACTGAATATCAGTTTGTGTTTAGGACCACTGTTATTTATCTATTTTAAATAAATACATGTATATATTTAATATACCTAAATATATATATTATAGATAAGTATATATGTATGTGTGTGTATGTGTATATACATATATGTGTGTGTGTAAATATATATATATATAGGCATATATTTCTTAAACTTGGTGCTTTTTGGTTGTGGAATAGTGACTCAAAATCTTATGAGCAAGAAATTTTGATTTGCCTATGGAATATGATACTTGTCTTTATGTCAGTAACTGGGTTCAAATCATACACCCCAGGGAGATTTATGAACTTTACCTGCTGTATTATGAAAGAGGACAAGGTAAACTGAACTGGTTCTGATCGAACATTTGGATTCACAGGTTGCTACTTATTGTGAATTTTAGAGTGATTAGAGACAACTAAGGAATAGCAACATGTTTCTATTTTTGCTAATGCTCTTTAACTTTGCAAAAAATACTATAGGTAATGGCCCACGATGACATTGTTCCTCACCCATTCCTACCTCCACCTAGGCTAGTGTAGATGACTTCTCAGTAGCTACATGTGACTTTTATTCCAGTAGCAATTTCCTGCCTGCTTCCATGAGTAAAATTCCAGCTCAGTTTGCTTCCCTTAGGCTGCTTTACATCATCTATTTCCTGTTACATAAATAGCTGATTATGATAATACCTACCTTATAGATTAGATTGAAGATGAAATAATAAATACAAGGCATGTCTCAAGTTGCCTAATACACATTAGGTACTTGCTTTTTCATTATTTCCTTTGTCTCCCTCCCCTTTAAATTTATGGGAAGGAGGTGTTTTTATATTGTTTTCATCTGGGGCCAAGCTTATCTCATCTGAAGGACAGGCCCTGAGGCTTCTGGTTGTTTGTCATTGCCAGACACATTTAGTGAGTCATTGGGCTTGGCAGTTGTGATTGTGGAAGCTGAGAAATCCCATGACAGGCCACTTGCAAGCTGGAGACCCTGAGGTGCTGGTAGTGTGGCTCAGTCCAAAGTCTTCAAAACCAGGGGAACCAATGTTATAACTCTCAGCTCGAGGCCAACCTGAGACCTGGGAGGGCCACTGGTGTAAGTCCTGGAGTCTAAATTAGGCTGGGAGCCTGGAGTTGCTGTCCAAGGACGAGGGGAAAGAATGTATCCCAGAAGATAGATCCCATTTTTATTTATTAAAAGGCTTTTTGGGGGCAGGAGTTTGTTTGTATTTATATCAAAATCAAAACCTTCAAGTGTGTTTGAAATATTTTTAACAAATGCTAGTCAGTTGAAATTTTATTGAGAGAGCTGTCTAATAATATCTCCAATATTATACTTTTATATTTGTACTAATTTTACTAAGACTGTTGTTTTACTATGAAATAATAAATAAAGACAATAAAAGTCAAATAGAACAGATAGTTACATGATGAAAATGATCTCTTCTTAGCTCTAGGCTGACTCCAGCTTATTTTCTAGCACCACTTTTAATGATTCACATTTTTTCCCCACAAATTTATCTTTGTACATCATTGTACATACATGTATATGAATGTGTGTATGTGTGCTGTAAGTGTATATATCTGATGTGTCTTTTCTCTTATGTTTTCACAAGTGAGAGCATCTGTAAAAATATGGGAATTACTTCATATCCTACTATTTTATTTAATATATGTTAGCGCTCTTGTCACATAAGCACACACTGATCTATTTCATTCTCTTAGTGGCTATGTAATATTTCTTTGTGCAGATATATAATACCATTTGGTTTTCAGTATCTTGTGATTATAAATGCTGCCATGGTCATACTTCTACATGTATGTTTGCTTACATATGCAAGGATATCTGTGGGATGAATTCCTACCTCTGTAATTTTAGGTCAAAGTATATGTGCATTTTACATTGTGATAGACATTGGGAAATTGTTTTCCAAACAGGTATCAGAAGTTTATAACCTTCTTCTACAGAGTATTAGAATACATGTTTTATGTGCTTTTGCTGGTCCTAAATATTACCAAATTCTTTGTATAGTAAATTTAATTTTGTTTGGTCCTCAGAGTGATGACCATTAAATATCCATGAAGTACCTTTTTGAACCATTAAAGAAAATTCCAATATGTCTATTATAGTCTCATTAGTATTCATCGTTATGGCACATATATAATACTTACCCTTTCTAATAACCAGAGCATTAAGCTTCTCATGTTGTATGTCATCCCAGATGACAAGGTTTATTGTGGGTCTTGCTGCTTTTCTCTTAATAATCCAGTGGCCAGTTCTTTTAGCTTCACTGATTTGGACTTCGTTTGTACTTCTCAATGGATCATGGTATTTACTGGGAATCAGAGTTCCTGGAATCAGCTCCCAAGAATGCGTTTTCTTTAGCTTTGGAAAATTTCTAGATGTGTTTTGGTTTTCAGAATAGTTACATTCTTTTCTAAGATCACACAGATATTAAATATCATAGCCAGAATGAGAACCTGCCACTCATTGGCCAGGAAGATCAGTGTTCTAATCTTAATTATTTATTGTCTATGCAACATTGGGCAAGTTGTTGTCTCATTATTTTTAAAATGGGAATTGGACTCCTTGCCCTGTTGACTTCAAAAAAATCAAGTGAGTCTCAAGTAAAAGTGCTTGGAAAACTGTAAAACTAAAGTGTGCCTGTTTTGCAATCTTTGTTACATTTCAATGAGGGAGCTCATTTGGGGTCTTAATAAGGAATTCATTACTTACTAGATTTGCTGAATATTTTTGAGTATTGGTTTGTTTGCTTTTCCTCTGTACATTTGCAGACACTCGCTTTTAAAACATGTGTGACAGCCTGTAATGTTTCATATAAGTCAGTAAAGCTATTTTTAGTCATTGTGAATATCAAAAAAAAATGGAATTCTTTATTTGTGTTTGGGCATTTCACTTTTATTCATTTCCATAAAAGTTACAAATATGGTAGAGCCACATTTTAAAATTACTGAAGATATTGAGGCATTATTGATATTTCATTTTCATTTTGTGCTTGTTTGTTACATGTTAACAACTGAATTTCCATTTCTTGAAAACAAAGAAACTATATTTGTTTTCATTAAAAGGAGAAATGAAAAAAAAAAGGAGACATGTATTTAGTAATTACATTTCATTGTGTTTATATATCTTGAAGGTCAAGTGGATATCATTGGAAATCTGGAAAAGTGGGCAAATTGGGTAATCAATCACACATGATGTCACAGAATAGAAGAAATTTTATTAAGGTAAGAAGATACCATTTGATTCTCAGGCAATTTGCTAAGCAAGAGATACAAATTAGTTTTCCAGATCTTGTGTTTCCTTCCAAACTCAAGAATTTACTACTCTTGTTTTAACAAGTTTGCATATTATTAGATCTTTAATTCCTTTGTTTGTAGGGTAATAGGCAACTTTCATTATTCAGTTATGTTTTTATTTTTCATCTATAAGTTGACTTTTAAAAATTTACCTAGAGTTGAATTTTTCCATTCTGATTTTTTCCAAATTCCAAATTGAATTTTTCCATTTAGTTTGCTTCTGGTTTAAAGTATGGGAAATAGAACTATATTATTCTATATTAAGGTGAAAGCTAATGTTATTTGATTTTACCAATGAGAGAACTTTATATCATATTTGTTTAATGTTTTTACATTCTACTTGAATTATAATTTATTATTCACTTAATGTTGATTTTATGTGTGAAGAAACCCAAGAAAAAAATACTTTTCAGTTTCCCAGCTATAGAATTGCTTTATCTTTAGTGTACCCATAAAATATAACATTATAATATATTTAAGATTATAACCAGATAAGTGTCTTTAAGTAAAGAAAACATTTGCTTCTGGATTCTTTTGTGCAAGATCCGTGACTTTGTAAGTATTAACTTACACAGCTTTTTATTTTTTATGTATCTATCATTAAACTTTCATTGGGTCAGTTGGCATCTACAGACATCTTACTCTGCACTTCTAAACTTTTTGGCTTCAAAAAGGCATTCTATTCTTTAGAGTCATGCCCTGAGTGAAATAGGTTTCTTTAATTTTTGTGTTAAAAGTTTTATAATTCACTTTGCACTTTCCATTTTCTTTTTGCAATAGCATTCAAAGTTTCAGATATAATTGTAAATATAATGTATTAAAAATGTGGACTCTGTTATTGACTTTTTTATTTAATTTCATTTATTAAATGCTTTCTTTGTTTTATAGTGAATTGTCCTTGTTCTCAAAGAGGTCCTCATCTAATATGAAAGATGAGGTGCATAAAAATATTTAGGGCAAAATTCGGTATGTAATTTTTGCTGTAATCACTCAGTATATGAACAACGTGTGCTTGAGAAATAATAGTTTAGTTCTACAAATATTTGATAGTCAACTAAGTATATTTATAAGGAAAAAGTGATGAATAAATCATTATCTCAGTCCCCAGAAACGTCATAATTAACTAGGAAGATAAAAGCTTGGGGGGTTGGGAGCTGTGAAGTGTCGGTCTAGAAAATGAGATTAGGCAGGAAAGTAGAAGGCTTTGAATTCCAGGCTTAGGAGTCTTAATATTTTTACTTGGTGAATGGAATTCTCTGACATTTTTTGAGCAGGAGGATGGCAAGATTAAGGTAATAATTTATGATGGTTGATCTTATTTAAATATCCATTATGTTTGGAGTTAAGAGCATAGAGCCAAGTGGTCTCCAAACTGTTTTAATCATGTAACATATCAGAAAAGCGTGTATTTTGAGCATGGACTTCCTACACATGTACTTCTATTTGCTTATAAATAGAATTTAGTTATATACTTAGTTATATACTAAGTTATATACTTAGTTATGATACGTATGATGTCTTATGTACATTATAAAACAAAATATGGAAATTAGCCAAGAATGCAGTAGTCATAAATAGATGTTTCTTTTGAGGAAGTAACTGTCCTCTCTAAGAATTTATAAAAAGAAGAGAAGTGTGAGGAATACAACTGTGAGGGAAAGCCCGAGTGTGGAATATGTTGGCAAAGAGAACTTTAATATTTACTTGATATGTTTTAATACGAGTCAACAGTTTAGTGTTTAGCTGCTTTTCCTTTTTTCTCATTCAGTGTTTACTTGACTCCTACAAGGTAGTTGTTATTATTCCAGATTGACAGATGAAGTAACTTAACATCAAAGAAGTTAAATAACTTGCTCAAGGTCAAAAGTCAGGACCAAGATTTAGAATGAGAGCTCTCAGGCTTGTTCAAGACAATTTGCCAACTCTTCACCGAAGAAAGCCTGAGAAGAAAAAGAATAGCAGGAGTAGAATCAAAGTAATGTAATTTTATAGAAGACACAAGTAAAGGAAGGCCTTTTTAGAAAATATGGAGAAGTCACTATTGTTGAATACATTGTGTAGTGAAAAAAGTTTTGAGTATCGCTTTGGACCGATTTTTCTCTAGGGAGCTATTTTGCTTTCCAGGAGACATTTGGCAATGTCTGGAGACATTTTCAGTTGTTACCACTGAGAGGGCTTTTTTTTTTCTTTACACTGAAGATATGTAGTGAGTACAGGCCAAGGATGCTGCTAAATATCCTACAATACACTGGAGAACCCCCAAAACAAAGAATTATTTGGCCCAAAATGTCAATGGTGCTAAGGTTGAGAAACTGCATTAGACTATATAGATTGAAATTCTGAAATTCTCATTTCATTAACTCTGTGATGTTAAGCAAATCACTTAACCTTTCTGAGCCTATATTACCACAGTTGTAAACATGCATAGTATTTGCTGAATACTTCACAGAGTTTCGAGGAAATATATGTGAAACCATTTTGTAATATTATGTGAATATCACATTAAAATGTCTGTTTCTAGAGAATGAGAATTAAAAAACTGAATTTGATGATTGGGCCATTATTAGATGTGAAATAGATGTTAAGTGGTTGAAAAGAGTGGGAGGCAATGAGCAAAGATTATCTTTGCAGTGAACATGAGAGCAGAGGGTGACCTATATAGGGTTTAACAGGATCAAGGAAAGACTTTATTATATTGATTTTTGTAACTGGGGAGATTATGTGAGCCAATTTGTAGGCTGAGAGATGGACATGCTAGTAGAGAAAAGACTAAAGATGAAGATGAGAGAGGTGCCAGTTGCTGAGTGTGTGGTCTTTGAAGAGATGTTTCATTAAAGAGGCCTTTACCAAGGAAAGAAAGACACTATTTTTCTGAGACAAGAAAGGTGGAAGAATTAACAGGTGCAATAAAATAGTAAGTTGTAGAGGTTGTGTTTGACGGGTGGTGAGGTAGGACACTGGAAAGTCGTAATGGAAGAGTTCAACATTTTTAGTAAGGTTGAAGACAATATCGTCTGCTCAGATTGAGTAGGGGATATGGGATGAATTTGAGTTCTCAGGAATGGAGAAGGTTTGGAGTGGCCACTGTGGGAATCACGATTGGGGTTTAACAGCAAATGAATAAGCGAATTGCTGAAAAGCCATAAGGGCCCACTGGGGTTATTCAGTATGAATTTGTAAGAGACCTGACAGTATTATTTCATCACAATGGTAGGTAGATATGGGAGCTCTAAGAGGAAGGAGGCAGGGTGATTGAGGTTAGCACTGAGAAACTTCTGAGTTTGGGATTTTGAAGGTGTGGCCATTCAGCGTGCTGTTTAGGTGCAAGCTTTGGTCACAATGGTGGGGTGGCTGAAGAGGCATTAGATGTTCAGAGCAGCCAGCATGTTGGAGCATCTTTGGTACCAGGAAGTTAGGTAAACATGTATGTTGAAATCTCTAAAATTACATGCCAGAAATGTGATGGAGAGACATACTGAACGCATTACTGAAGTTCAGGTGGAAAAGGACTCTAGATATTGGTAAAGGTATTAAGCAGGTGGTGAAGAGCTTTGGTAGAAGTGACTTTGTTGAATGATGATAGCAGAACAATATTCTGGAAGCAGCATTGAAGAGAAAATAGGAAGAAAATTTTTCTTTTCTCCTGGTGAATGAAAGGGAGTGGAAAAGGAACTAGTTCCTCTGGAGAGTGTTTTGGAAAACGTTGTGCCTAAGGAAAGGTGAGTTTCAGTTGATGTAAACTTTTAGATGAAACATTTTTAGGAAAGGTTTAAAGCATGAGATAGGTAAATTATTTTTTAATAGGGACTCTCTGGGATGATAGAGGAGCCTGGCTGGAATGACAATCAGTAAAGAATAGCAAAGGTTCAGGAGCTAATTGGGTTGAGAATGAGAATATCTGAAAAGGTGGCTTGTAGAAAGTTTCGGCCCAGTGTGGTAGATTAAGGCATTGGTGGGGATTTGGAGGCATTTGTGAATGCCAGGGAGCTGATAACGGCAGCTCAGTCTGACCCCATTGGCTCAGATGCTATGCCTGTGTGGTAGATCCACTAAATCAGCCTGGCCTCTGACAGCACCCCTTCGACATCTACTGGTGGAGGCATAAGTGGGTTAATAAGGCACAGGCTTTAGTATATCAAACTCCTGATGTTTTGCATATACATACATATACATAAACATATGCAGATATGTGTATATGTCTATATGTGTGTGTATACATGTGAGTGCACGCATATGTGCATCCTCGATCCAACCTTACTCCACCCCCAACCCTTTCCGAAACAGATAAAAACTCAGTCTTATGAGGAAATTCTATTTGTCTAAAAATAGCAGCTAGCAGTTTATTCATTCAAATATTTGTATGCAATTTGAATCATTTGAAGTAAATATGGCTGTATTCATAGAGCAGAAAAATATTACTCATAGTAATAAAAACAAATTGTAAAATTTCCCTAATAATTTGTTCATTTTGCTTTGGCATATCTATCCATTCTGTCCGGGGTAACCTATAACCACACTGATCAGGTTTCAATTCAGATGTATCATTAAGGTAATCATATTGGATAATTTGATTATGAAAAATGAGATTAAATTATCTGTAACTTGCGTAACATTACCAGTTCAAAAATAAAAACGTGATTCATAGAAAAATTGATTATTTCAATCCTATTTTCTTTCTGCTTTGTTTGGTACATAGCATCGGGGCAGCTACTTTAAAGAATGTGAACAATAAGTGTCCCTTTGAAGCAAAACCACTAGATTCACTGAGAATAATTAGGCCTAAATTTTCAAAGATGACTGTAGTTGGTGCAGCCATAGATATAGAGACAGCCATTGTTCTCATATTCTCATGTACAAATTGAGCAATTGAGCATGCAAATTGCAAATTGAAAACTAGGCGTGAATTGACAGTGTCTATATAAATGCACACCATCCTCCATGCTCGTTCGTGTACTTTAAATGTTGGTTTTAATAAGATCAAGGCAAGTATGTTCAAGTGGCAAGCCTGTTTTATTTCCTAAAATGTTAAGAGCCAAGGATTTTAAGTGATTATTCATTTGAAATACCTAGTAGTGAATCATATTTACTCAAATTTTTTGGCTACATTATAGGAAGGTCAGGGATCACAAATAATATATTTGAAGGTTAATAAGTCTGTGTTGCTTAAACATGTAGTTGTCTATATTGGGCAAATAAGATAATAATATTGGTTTCTACAGTTATGTAATCAGAGTGGCTCAGTCACAATTCAGTTTGGATTTAGTCTACACAAATATTAGACTTTGTGTGTTTGAGGAAGAGCAGGAATTTAGAAAAGAATTATTAAACCTTTACAATATTCGAATACTAGCATTTTCTTAAAATCATTTTATGATGACATACAATGGTTTTTGTTTAAAAATATTTTATGTTTTTAAAAAACTGGTTTACATTTATTTCCAAAATTTATTTTATTTTCTATAAATTTCTCTTTATAATTTATCAAGAGGTCTACATGTGCTTTAGTGATGATCTCCTATTAATTTCATATTATTCTTTCAAAAATATTTTTGTTCAAGATGCAACAAAATGTTACAACTTTCTAATATTTTTGTTAGTAACTTAATTAAACTTTCTTTGAATAAAGAGAATACATACCTGACAAACAATATCTATTTTATCAATACAGCTTTCTGCAGGAAAAGTGAAATTAAAATTATTGAAGGAGCAGATTCAAGGTAAATAGTTTACCATAATATTATTAGATGTTAAAGATACATTTTTTTCTTTTATATTTGAATTACACATAAAATTAAAGTGTTAGAATTGTTCATGCCATATGAAGATTCTAAACTCCCAACTTAATGACGCTTGGATTTTCAAAATAAATTTTATTCAATTGATATAAATTGAAATTGCACTCTAAGAAATTAAAAGAACATTGAAAATTGCTTTATATTTTAATAAATCATTTAACAACAGCAAAAACCAAAAATACAATTTGAATTTGTAGTAATTCCAAAGGAAATAATATGTCTTTCTGGAGGATAAACACATTTAATTTTGAGTGGTTAAGATAATTTGGTAGAAGAAATTCTAGAAATATGTATGATATAATACTTATTACATATTTATATACACATATATTTATTATAAATATGTAATATGATAAATGTTTAGAATTTGTTGTATGTCGGTTTCAGTTTGATCCAGAAATGGGAAATGTGCATAGTTTCATTACTTTATCAATCAGAAAACTAAACATATTTTAAAGTGATTGCTCTAACATTTTTTTTCTTCCAGGGCCAGTGAAACAACCAGTTAATTATAAAATGGCAAATTCTTTTGAAAGTGAAAAACCCAAGATAAAAGGGAAAGTTTGTGGACAGTGTGAGAACAAAGCTGCTCTACTAGTATGTGCATTATAATAAGCAATTAGAATAGAATTTCATATGGCCTCATAGACCCATCCTAACTTAATTTGTTTTAGTAGCCTTATACTTTTTCTTCATTGCTGTTACTGTGCGTGAAGTGTGCGTGCTGCTGGATAAGGACAGCAGCTATACTTATTCACTGAATCTCATCCTCTCATTCCTTTTTTTTTTTTTGAGACAGAGTCTCACTCTGTTGCCCTTACAGTGCCCTGGTTAGCCTATTTCACAGCAACCTCAAACTCCTGGGCTCAAGCGATCCTCCTGCCTCAGCCTCCCGAGTAGCTGGGACTACAGGCATGCGCCACCATGCCCGGCTAATTTTTTCTATATAGATTTTTAGTTATTTGGCTAATTTCTTTCTTTTTTTAGTAGAGACGGGGTCTCGCTCTTGCTCAGGCTGGTCTCGAAATCCTGAGCTCAAACAATCCTCCCGCCTTGGCCTCCCAGAGTGCTAGGATTACAGGCGTGGCCACGCCCGGCCCATCCTCTCATTCTTAAGGGCATCTCTTTAAAGCTTGTCCTCTGTCCTTTGGATCGTGCCTGTTAGCATACAAACATGCTGCAGTATCCCCATCTAAAACTAAAACCAAAACCAAAACTACACTAAAAATTATGTTTGACCTCCAAATCTGCCTCTGCACCCCATTATTGTAAAACTCTTCTGAAGGTTTGTCTGTACTTGCTGTCAGTGTCTATTTTTAATTGCAATATAATTTACTTACTGTAAAACAGATCTTAAATGTACAATTAGATGCCTTTTGACAAATGCATGCACCCCATCAAGATACAGAACATTACTTTCACCTCAGAAAGATCCCATGTGCCCCTTCCAGTCAATCCCCACCATAAAGGCAACTACTCTGATTTTTAACACCTTAAATTTACAGGTGCCTGTTCTTGAACTTTTGTGTAAATGAAATGCGATAGTATACATTTTTTGGCTTTTTTTGCTCCTCATGGAGATTCACCTATGTTAATCAGTAGTAGGTTCATTAGTATTACCAAGTATGTCATTGTATGGATATACCACATTTTGTTTATCTATTTAGCCATCGATGGACACTTGGGTTGCTTCCACCTTTTGGCTTTTGTAAGTAATGTTGCTATGAGCATGAGTGCACAAATAATCTCTTCAAGACCCTGTTTTCAATTCTTTTGAGTATATATCGAGAAGTGAAATTGTTAGATTTCCATTTTCTCTTGAATTCTTTCCAGTCAGTCTTGAGTCTCCACTACTGTCCAGCAGCTCCTCCTATCCAGGTCACCATAGACTTCCACATTCTTAAATAAAATGCTCAACTCTCAGTTCTTATCTTAATTTATTAGGAATATTTGATACAGTATCTCTCTCTTCACCTATGACTTCCTTCCTCTGGGACATCGTACGCTCTTGGCTTCATTTTAGTTCAGTACCTGTTTCTTCTCAGTCTTCTTTGTTGGTTTTCTGTATTCTTGACCTCTTAATGTTGGCGTGCCACAGGTCTCAGTGCTTAGGCTTCTTCTTTATCTATCTGTATGTACTCTCCAGATAAATCTACCCACTCTCTTGTCTTGAAAGCCCATATCTATATTTTTGATTTTCTAATTTACACATCTACGTCAAATTTCTTCCCTGAACTTTTGACTCAAACTGCGTATTCAACACCTCTACTTGGATATCTAGTAGGAATTACTAACTTAACGTGTTCAAAGTTGAGCCCTTAATTTCTTTCCAATAAATATTCTTCCCTCACACTTTCTTCATATTGATATATGTCAACTCAAAGGTTACCTACTCTGACAGCCTTTTACAAAGTAGCAAAAGCTGAGTTGTACTCTCTAGTTTTGTGAAGCGACTTCATCCACCTATATAATGTTTATCACCAGTTAATATATATTTATTTGTTTATATTCTACCTATCTACAATGTAAATTTCCTAAGGGTGTGGGTGTAGATATAGTTTTTTTCATTGCTGTGTGACCACCACCTAGAATTATGCCTGCAGTGTAGTAAACACTCACCAAAATTTGTTGAGTGAATCGTTTCTTTAAGAACTATTTTCTAACATAGATTTTTCCTTAATTTAGACATATTTTCCTTTCAGGTAGCATTGATGATACTCCAGTATCTTTTACAATTTTAAATATTACACATAGGTAGGAAGTAGTTTCCCTCTGAAAGAATTTAATGATTATTTATAACTAATATTTCCAGATTATGTTATAGTTTCAGAGAACATAGCCATAATCATTTCTGACTTAAGGCTATGTTGCTAGACTTATTTAATGACAGTTTTAATTGGACTCGAAGAGTTAGAATGCTATGTATCTAATAAATAGCTAATAACAATATTAAATGTAAAACCTGGCTCTCGGTAGCATAATGCTCTTTTTATTACATCATATTATTTTCTTAATTGATATACTGGTGGACAATAATTGAAGGAATCTTAACAAACTACAACTATCCAGAAATGTGTAAAAAATATAAACAAATGCTAATATTCTTTGAGTTGGAAGTATGAGAGCTAAAAGGGACTTACTGGTTTAATTGAATTGTTGAGGTTGGTTGTTAGTGACCTGAAAAAGGATTTATAACATATAGGAGCTATGAATCAATATTTCTTGTGAATCCTACTTTGTGTTGAGCACTTTTCAAAGGCCATAGAACTTGAACCGTGTGGCATAAGTAGATAGGGCTTGACCTGGAAATAAAGGATCTGTTTTTCTAGAGAGAAGAAAAAGTAAGGAGGAGGATATCCCAGACAGGATAAATAGCATGCACCTTGACTGGAAGGCAGACGAGAGTGATAATGTGCGCAGTTATCAGCGAGCAGATAGGCCTGAAAACGTTTTATACAGAAGCCAGGATTTAGGCCCTAAACATTTGTAAGAAATTTTGCTAAGAATTTAAGAAAGGATGTTCTTTGATTTGAAATAAAAATGATATCCTATGATAGTTGTCAAAAACATAACAATAAGCCGTTATATTTAGATGCATTCACATATATTGATGGCAAGGATAAAGCCCGCAAATTCCAAATTTCTTATATATTAATTTGGCAAATGTGGATAATTTAATTAAACTCAAATGGGTTCTGAAGGCTTAGTACAACTGATTTGGCATTCATCAAATATTTGTTAAAACTGCACTTGGGTATTCCATCATCGAGGAAACATCTGTGATGGAATGGAGTCCTTATTTACATTTTTAACATGCTTCTGCCAGTTATACGAACTGCCTAAAAAGATTTTCCAGTTGGCGGTCATTTTAACCCAATTTAAATCCAAATATGCTTGTATAACAAAATATAACAGCTTACTCTGCAACTCCAGCTTTGATCTTCCAGTCTACAAATATCCTTTTGGCTACATTCATTAAAAGTCTGTTGTTAACAAATACTTGGCTTAGAATTATATGCTAAAACTGATTTTCAGTTTTCCATGTTATATTGTAAAAACAGTGCCAAATATTTATGAGAAATTCATTAAAATATTAGCAGATATGTTAAGTAAAAATTATGCAGAGTGCATTCTGAAGTCTATATTAATATAACAACCATATAATTATGTAAAATTATAGTTTTTTTTTGTTTGTTTTTTGAGACAGAGTGTCTGTCGCCCTGGGTAGATTGCAGTGGCGTCATCATAGCTCACTGTAATCTCAAACTCCTGGGCTCAAGAGATCCACCTGCCTCAGCCTCCCGAGTAGCTGGGACTACATGCATGCACCTCCAAGCCTGGCTAATTTTTCTATTTTTAGTAGAGACGGGGTCTTGCTCTTGCTTGGCCTGGTCTGGAACTCCCGAGCTGAAGCAATCCTCCCACCTCAGCCTTCCAGAGTGCTAGGATTACAGGTGTGAGCCACCTCACCTGCCTAAAATTATAGTTTTAAAATTGATTTTATACTTAAAACTATGGATTTGGGATAATGTTTTTATTCCATTTCTCCAAAAGACTGAAGCTCTTGAAACACCAGTTGAAAGGGTAGGATTAGCTAGTTCTTGTTCTAGGGATAGTGATTTTTTTTTTTTCTGCTTGAATAAATAATTCGGTTCCATATAGCTAATCATATTTGAAAAAATATATTTGGATTTTAATAAATACCAGACCGTGCAGTCATTGGAAATATTAGATTTTATAATATTGCAGATTTTATCAAGATTTTTCAATACAGATGGTGCCCGACTTACCATGGTTCCAAAAATGGTGGTGCAAAGTGATATGCATTCAATAGAAACCACACTTCAAATTTTGAATTTTGATTTTTTCCTGGGCTAGTGAAGTGCAGAAAGATACTTCTGATAATGGACGGCGGCAGCAAGTCGTAGCTCCTAATCAGCTATGTGGTTATGTGGGTAAAACACCATAAGATACTTAACACTTTATTATAAAATAGGTGTTAGATGATTTCTCCCAATTTTAGGCTAATGTAAGTGTTTTGAGCACATTTAAGATAGGCTAGGATGTTTGGTAGGTTAGATGTATTAAATACATTTTCAACTTAAGTTACTTTCAATTTATGATGAATTTATTGGGCAATAATCCCATTAAAAGTGAAGGACTATCTGTAAATGATTAGTACTTCAGTGAATGGTCTCCGATTAATTTAATGATTGGTAATGTGTGTCATGTTTAAGAGTTTGAGCTTTTAGTCAGACTGTGGGGTTGAAATCCTGTCTCCACCACGATTATCTTGTATGACTGTGGACAAATTCTCAATCATTGTGTTCCTTTGTTACTTCATCTTCACAATGAAGATACAGTGTTCATTCTAACATTGTAGGGTTGGTGTGAGGATTAAATGAGATGGAACATAACATCTCACTGTTACTCTAGAACAGTGATTAAGTGCTCACTAAATGTGGGTATTGTCATTGTTATTTGATTCTAGTCTCCTTTTTTAGTTCCTTTTAGTTACATATAGTTCTTTTTTACTTTTTAAATCATTTCTTTAGTGTTGTTCTAATCATTTTATATTTGATAAACCTGTCAACATTATTGTAGGAAACCATGTCATTACATGGAGATTTTTAACACAATGGACTTAAAAGTCTCCTTTTGGGTTTTTAATATAAGTGTAGTCTACTTTTCTATGTCATTTGCATCCTAGTGCCTTGTTACTCAACGTGTGGTCCACATGGCACTAGGATGTGCATCACCTGGGAGCTCGTTAGCATGCGGGATCTCAGGTCCCATTACAGATCTACTGCATCAGAGCATTGTAACAAAATCCCGGGTGATTTACGTGCATATTACAATTGGAGAAGCTTCACTCTATTGCACAGTTCAGTCCACCAATGACCAGTACGAGGCAGAAGAGCTTGGTTGGCCTTTTGCCAACCGAACCCATCTACTTTATGCTTATTATTCCTTGACATGAAGAAGAAAGGAAGGAGTGGGGAGAGTGGAGGTGGGCACTCTGAGAGGAAATGAATGAGGATTGAAGGAACTATGATCACCTTGACATAGACATTCTGATACCATCTCTCCAAGCCCTCATGCTTTCTCATCCGTGCTACCGTTCGTTCTTCTCAGCCTGGGCCAACGTGAATAAAATGAGGGCTCTTAGCCTTTTACACTGCTGCTTGTCACATTGTCAAAAGTGTTGAAGCAGCAGTACAATTGTAGTATTTTCATTTGTAGGAAAATTTCCATTTTCTTTTCTTTTTCCTTTCAGTCTTGCTTGGCACCATCATAGGTATGGGTATATTGCATTATTCAACTCATCCACACATTTGAAAAATTACATTTTAACATCATAAAGAATTGGAAGATAAATATAAATTTGCTCATAATTATTATATTTTATCAGTCATAAAATTGCTGACATGGTGATGTAGTTCCATCCAAAAAATATTAAGTTCCTTTTTCCTTATACCTTTTTTCCCTTTGGTGACTCTTCTAAGAACGCTTTTTAAAAGCCATATTTTGAGAAACAACAGTGAAGAAGTACCTTTCAAGGAAGTATATGCGGATTTTTGGAGGCAAATAGTATGCATATCATTTGAAACTGTGTCATGTAAACCCATACAGAAAGATAAACAAGCTCATAAAAATGAAGGATTTTTCACACAAAGATAACACCATATAGTTTTTACCAGGTCAAGAAGTTTGACCTGCAGCTACTGGTTGTTTTATGAATTATTCAGAAATTGCACACACATATATGCATCTAACATATACACCTAAAACCTACATTGAAGTTATTATATTTATTTTGTTAAGAGAATAATTAGTGTTTACAAGTTAGTTTTCCTCAAAGAGTTAAATCTTTAATGGGCCAAATAGCTGTCCCAGGCTTTTTTTGAAGGGAGGGGTGGTCCTCGATTATGAAGACATATATGCATGTCATTTTTACAAAAAAATATTAAAACAATAACATTTTCATGCAAACACTTTCTTAAAATCATATTAGTATAAGATTGTATTTTTTTTAAAAATATCTTTTAAGGTGTGCCTTGAATGTGGAGAAGATTATTGTTCCGGATGCTTTGCTAAAATTCACCAGAAGGGGGCACTAAGGCTCCACAGAACAACTCTTCTGCAGGTATGCCTTTCTATAGCAAAATGCTGTGCTTGTAGTGTGTTTGTAAAATGTTTCAACATAAAGACATTTAAAATATTTAATTATCTAGAACTCAGGATGATTTACATTAATTTCTAAAATTCTATTATGTACAGTCTTGACATATATCTTAAAATTATTTTACTGAACACTAGATTATATTTTGCTGTTTAAAGTATGTTGTAAGGGTAGTTGCTGAAACAGCTTGATTAGGGTCTTCAGATTATGCATTCTATCTGAGAACTTGACATTTAAAAACTAGACAATATTTTTATCTATTGTGATTTCAAACAAACACTTGGATTATTTTAAATATTGCTTCTGTGTAATTTATAAACAGAAATCTCTTATGTTTTCTTTTCATACTTATTTAAAAATAGTTTTTTATTTCTCTTCACCCACTATCATTTAGATCAGCTTATATCTCAGGTTTCTACCCTTCTTTCTACATATAAGGACCTTTTATTTATTCTTCTGTAGTCATTGCTTTTTGAAATGCCTAAACTCACTGTGTCAGGTGGCTTTAAAATTCTAATACTTAAACAGTAAATATGGTTAGATAGAGACATGACATGACACCAGTTACATTTAATGCTGCATTGATTTGTCACAGACTTCATTCACTTTGCAGTAATGTATTCAACAAACATTTATCGAGTACCTTCTAGGAAGCAGGCTCTGTGCCAGGCAATGACCTTATATAGATTAATAATCCTAGGGCCTGGAGATAAAAATGAGGACCAAAAACCCATATAATGGGTTGAGGATTTAAGTATTATCTTATAGGCAAAGGAAAGGAGATGATCAGATCTATATTTAGAAATATCACTGGTAGATTTCAAAATTTACATGTTAGCTCAATAAATATTGGTATCTGTCTAGGAGGGTAACGGCCCAAGTTATGATAACCACAAAACATAAAATAGACCTAACTTATATTTACCCAAGTCACTTACTTTAGAGTGGTCACTCAATGTTTAGAGCCTCTGGACAGAAATGATAGAGGGAAAACAGAAAACAACCTGCTACTTCCTTTCTTCATGATATTATAATCAGATAGTCATAAAAATGAAAATTAATCATATAAAAGTGAGTCTAATTGTTAATATGTAAATAATACAGAATCTAATTAAAGGAATTCTGCTTTGAAGGTAAATACTGTAGTATAATGATTCAACCATGAGTTCATATTAGGAATTTTTCATGCAATGATTTATTCAGCACATCTTTTGAGTTATCACTCAGTAAATTTAAACACTTGTGCTGACTGATATGGAAGATACGAAGAAAGAGCCATGACTTTTTCTCTTCAGTATTTGAGCCTCGAGATTTATCCAAGTTTGCTTCTTTTGTCTCTCTCCTTTCCTTCTCCTTCTCCTCCCTTTTCCTCCCTCTCTCTCTCTCTCTCTCTCTCTCTCTCTCTCGCTCTCTCTCTCTCACACACACACACACACACACACACACACACACACACACACACACAGATAATTTCACAAGACAGACATCGCTGTGACATGACTTATTGTTATCCAGACATGGATATGATCGGGGTCAAATTATGCTTACTAAAAGCAGCATGACATAGAGTATGTTTTCTTAACATTGAGCATTCTTCTATTCCATATTAATATTATTGAAATATGTGTACCTTACGTCTTAACATAGAAGAAAAGTGATCTTTGTAGATTAGGATCTTATAAAATTCCAACTGTAGATTTGAATGAAGAAGTGAGAAAATATTTACTGAATATATGCTTCATGTCATACTCTTTTTTGTAATTAAAAAGTATGTTTATTGTTTCTTGTGTACAACTCCTTTCAAATTACATACTACTTTTACACGGAGCATTTATGACAATCTGCGGATTTCTCCTCCTCCATCTTTATTGAGATATAATTGACAAAAATTGTATATATTTAAGGTACAAATGTGATGTTGTGATATACATAAATGTGAAATAATCTCCAAAATTAAGCTAAAGAACATTTCCATCACTTCACATTACATTGTCATCTTCCCCCCTCCCTCCCTTTCTTCCTCCTTTCCTTCTTTTTTTCCTTTCTTCCTTCCTTTCTTTCTTTTTTCCTTTTTTTTTTTTGTGGTAAGAACATTTAAGATACTGCCAGTATCACATTTTCTGGTTTTGATTGCAGGGGAGGAAAGGGTGGTAAGCCAGAAATAGTAAAATGGTATTTAAGTTCCTAGTGAATCTCAAATTGTAGAATATTCATTTATCTCTGAAAGTTAGAATAAATGGATTTCATAATATATATATATACAAATCAAAGAGTAGGGCAAGGAACCATGAATTCTTGAAATGTTTCTTCAAATACAGGTATTCTTTTGTGTATATAAAATTAAAGTTAAGTGACAATAAACAGCCATATCTCTTCTTTGTTTGTGTTAGCCCTTTGTATTGCCCTCCAGTCTGTGCAGACTAAAGTGCCACTGCAGGGAGAGTCCTGGGAAGTGCATTGTCTACTAGGGAGGTAGAATTGAGAAGTTGACACTTAGCAAAAAGCTCACACAGACCTTCTGTACTGGGAGTAAATTTTGTACATTGCTCTTACTCTCTTTTTATATAACATTATCTCACCTACTGGGATTGTTAAGGAATGAAATATTTTG